AGCAGTGATGGCCTCTCTGCAAATGGGCATGAGATTTCGAACTAGCACACCCACAGGCAAAATCCCTGAGATACAACCATAAACCACAGTTTGGATCTGATCCACATGGAAGCAATTAGGAGAGGCATCTAGAAAGCCGTGTGCAGGAGAAAAATCTCTCTAGCTTGATGAAAACGTTCAGGGCTCCAACAAAGGGAGAACTCATACCTGGGGAGTCAGGAGATGACGGAGCTTTAAAGAGCAGTTTAAACTCCGTACAATTAAACTTCTCAAAGAACTCATGGAAGAAAGAACATCATGGACTAAGAATGGATGTTTATAAAACTGGACAGCTTTAAACACAGTTGGAATGATTGAAGTGAAAAGTATAGTCACTGAAATTAAAAAAAAAAGCAAGTAGAAATTGAACAGAAAATAAACTGAAATCAGAAGAAGAGAGAACTGGTTAAAATTATCTTTTCCTCATCACACACATTCTATCAGCACTGAACTGTCCTGGGCAGAGAAAATAGTCATTTTACTATCATTGAGAATAATGGCACAAGACAGTAGGTGATCTGAATAGGCTGATGGCTAATACAGATTGATATTATCTTAACAGAAACCCACTGGAGAAGTGTGTTGCAGGATGTGTAACTTTTTTTAAATTTTGGAAAGTTAAAACAATGCATAAGCTATAATATTTCCTAGTGGGTCTGGAGGAAAAAAATCCCATAATCAAACATCTGAATAGTTTTCCATCGCACGATGTATGAAATTTTATAATAAGTGCATAAATAAAGACTCTGAGTAGCTTCTGGCCAATCCTAACCAGATTTCGTAGACAAAGGTGATCTAACTTTCAGTGTTCAGAGCTGTCTGGGTTTCGGAATTGTAGACAAACCACCATGGACCTAGAAAAAGAGAGCCTGCCAGTGTTGAAATAGTAAGGAGATGCAACATTGATTCCGTCTGGGCGTGTGTTCTAGCAGTTTGAGTAACAGAAGTGGTGACTGCTGACCAGGCCAGAAGACGATGAAGACAGAAAAATACTAGAAGGGAGGTGAGGGTTAAAACAGGGGATGCAAGGGAGATCCAGGAAGTCCCCAGGGAGGAAGCTCAGCAAAGACAGGAGGTGGTCAGAGGTGAGGAAGACTTGAGGAAGGGGATACACATATTTCAGGGTGGAAACACCAATAATCAGGATGGAGTAGATGTGAGAATTAGGGAGAATGGAATAGAGCAAGGACAAAGACAGAGCTGGAGAAGGTAAGAGCGCAGGAAGCGGAGATGAGGAGACCAGAACTGGAGACGGGAGGGGAGGAAACCCGGAAGATGGGGAAGGGGACGAGAGGGTGAGAGGCAGAAATGATCGGAAGAGAGGTCTGGAGGGCCTCTAAGGCAGACATGACAAAGAGGAGGATAAATAGGGAGGGGAGAGAAAATATGAAGAGAGGAACAGTGAGGAGGGGGCAGGGGCCAAGGGGACAGAGGCATGACCAGGAGCAGAGGAAAGGGACCCAAGTCAGAAGAAATATGGTGGGAAGGAGGAAGCATTAGGAAGACATCCTTGAATTTTGTCAAGTATGCGGGACATGCTTTAAAGGCTTTTTGCTTCGTAATAAAGTTAATTTTTCAGTAGCATTTTTTTTTCTAATCTTAAAGCACTCAAATGCCTGTTTGCCACATGAGCTCTGAATCCATCGTTTTATTCTGACTTTGGAGCACTTATCAGGTAACAACATTGACTTTCATTGTGAATTCTTTCTTTCTTTTAAAATAGAGGCGGGATCTCACTATGTTGTCCAGCCAGATCTTGAACTCCTGGCTTCAAGCCGAAGTGCTGAGACTACAGGCATGGGTCACTGTGCCTGGCCTATGAACTTTATTTAAAAAAAAAAAAAAAACAACGAAATACCTGGACGTATAAGGCTGAGAAATTGATATAACGTGAATCAAGTGTGCAAGATAGATTTTATTTTTCATTTTTACATAGCTATACCTCTAATCTCACTACTATTTCTCATGTAAAACAAGCACATTCATCTTCCTGAGGAATGTTGAGTTATATATTTACCAAGCAAGCAAACCAGGTAGTTTTGTGTTCTTAAATGATTACAGACTCCTAAAATATTCTGTGCAATTATTGTTATGTAACTATACAAAATCACTCTCTGTTAGTTGGATTTTATTCAGAATACTATATTCCAGGATAAAAATGTGATTTTTTTTTTTCCATATCAACTTATTAGAAAGGAATATTCCAATTTGGTCTCTAAAATTCAGGGGGCAGGCAATTTTGTCGCTTCAAGAGGCCTTAAGTCTCTCTCTCTCTCTCTCTCTCTCTCTCTCTCTCTCTCTCTCTCTCTCACCCTTGGTTGTATTTACTCACAGAAAGATGAACACACGAGTAAACATCTGTGATGAGATGTATTTAGCTGGTGTCTTTAGTAGTGACATATCTCTAAAGGTTTTAACTCCTAGGGTCCTGATAGTCTCCCTCCTCCTGGGTTCCATTCAGCCTTCAAGAGTCCTCAGGCTAACTGGCCTGAAGTAGAATTGATTTTCACAGCTATCCACAGCATGCGGAAAGTGTGAGATTAAAATTCATTTGGAAAACCTCTTCTCCAGTGAAAGCAGTCAAATTGAACGATAGCCCTGAAAAAGGACCATCCCGGTTTTGCCTGGAACTTGGCCATTAGGGGGCAGTCAAACACTGCTCTTCAAAGTACTGCTCGGGCCTGGTTTTGGATGGTCGTGTGTTTTTGGAGATTAAGCCAATTATTTGAATAAGTAGCAATTGATAGTTACCAAGTAGCAGCCTCAAAACTGCATGCTTTTATTTTCCTATATAAGCCCATGTTTTTTATTTGTAGTGTTGTCCCAAATTAGTCCATTAAAACACTAATAAAAAAATGGTTTGAGGCTGGTTAACAAAAGTGCACAGTGAATAAATTAATGATAAATACATGCAATAATTTTAGAATGTTATCTATAATAATTTACTAGTGTCTGTAGTTTAAGACAATCATTATCATTCATTCCTTTGGCACTCCAAGGTGATCATCGCTAGAAAAGATAATAATATAATTTCTAATTTTTCATTTCATTTAGATCTAGTCTAAGAACCTATCACAAGTATTTCTTTAAATTTAAAGAGCAATCTTTGCTCTTACATAATTCTAAATGATCTTTTTTTGGTTACTATAAACAGCTTTGCCATTTTAACTGTCTGTAATTCTTTATGAAAAATTTTTACTAATAATACAGCAAATGCTTATTACTTTTATAAGTAGGAGTAAGATATCAAAGCATTGATTAATATGTCTTTGAAAATAAATTATTTTAAACACAAAGGTTTAAATTAGCAATCAAAAGTAATGTATAATTAAAAAAATAAAAATTGGGGGGAATTATAATTCACAATAAATATTTCCATTAGGTTGGTATATGAAATATGAAATATGGCATCTACTTAGAAATAAAAATAAAAAATAAAGAATATCTGTTTGAAATCTTCCTTTTTTTAAAGAATGCTATTACATTATGGTAAATCATAAAACATTATTTTAGCAATATATGTTTTTCATCTCATAAAAGGTTTAGGTAAATCAATTAGATGCTTTGTTATAAGTAAAAACAGTAGATATAGTAAAATTGGATAACTATAGTTACAGTCCTGCACGTTAAGGAAGTTTTTAAGGGCACAGACAACTTTTGTGACATGTCTTAAATCCAAGAACCTACTTTATAACTGTTTATTCTTATAAATTTTATAGAATGAAATATTCCAAATGTGGAAAGGACAGGAACTTCTGAGGTAAGAAATAGACTTTTGCAACATGAGTTCATATATTGTTTCTCCTTAGATGATACTTGGTTTTTCATGTAAGAGAGATTCAGATATGAAACAAAAACCATTCTAGGTTTTGGGGATAGATTGTTCAATAATTTGAAAAATAAAATTTTAGTATTTTAAGTTGAAAATAAAATCTAGATATTTTAAACATCTTAAAAAATATTTATTGATTAGAAGTTTTAAAATAATTTCACATAAATATTAGATTTCATTTCAAGATTAAAAATATTTAGTTGGAATTCACTTAATGAAATTGAATATTTTAAAAAACCTAAAGTGAATTTCTCAAAAAATAAAAATAATTTCAAATTTTAACTTTTACTCTCAGAGGTTTACAAGTTTTTAAGAAAAAATGTAAAATTAAATTACATATATTTTTGAATAATAATAAACTCCTGCATATCTTAAGTATGATGAATAATTTGCATATGTGCAGGCTCACAACAAAACTAGCCTTTTTCTTTAAAACCAGGTGGAGATTTAAGTTTTATTTTTTGGTCAGCTTTACAAAAAGAAGTTGCTGACTTGAAAATTAACAATTTGACTGAAATAAAAGTTTCCACAAATTAAAAACAAAAGTAAGAATTATCTAAACAGATGTAGTTTTGTAGATTTTTAGTAACTTTAGACAGGCTTACTCTTTGAGAAAGATACTGTTCTTTAGATTTGTCTGTGTCATTGGAGTGCTCACTTTAACTATGTTAACAACATAACAATAAATATGTTAAAAATGTAACAATAACTATGTTAACAATGTAACAATGTAAAATGGTTACTAGCAATTATATAAATATGAATATATTTCAGCAGGCTGAAATTTTACAAAATACAATTGTAGTTTATTAACTTGTCATACTTTTTCAAACAAGTACTTAAAATTTTTCTCTACTATAATTGATACAGTCAAGATTTAAAAAAATATTTTATCTACAGCTTTAATAACTTTCATTTTCATGTTTCCATAAAAAATATGCTGCATCTAAAAGTTGCTAGACTGTATGAAGGACTATAAACAATTAGTGAAATTGACTAAGACAAGGCATATTTGAGGTCTGGTTTTCCAACACCTCAATGAATTTATTACAAATGCCATAGAAATAAATAGGAATTTTGTATTCTTTGGGAATTGCCCTCATTTAAAGCAAGAAAGCCGTAGCCTTACCTTTGACATCGATCAGAATGATGAAACGAAGGAGAAAGAACATTGCAATCAATCTGAGGCTGAAGAGATGTTTAATACCAGAAAAATAACAATAGGTTTATAGCAATTGAGTTATTAGACACGTCCTCCTTATACCTCGGAAGGAGTTCTGATGTAGTAACTTGGGTACATCCCAGTGGAGCATGCTCACAGCTAGAACTTCCCTGGCACAAGGCGGCCAGACTCTTGTCACTCTGCAGCCGGTCTCCTTTGTTCTTTCTTTTTTGTTTCATTTTATTTTAAATCTACAGTTGTGTTCTTGGTCATTAATTCGTCATGGTGTGTAAAGGGAGATATACATAAGACTTCGGTGTTATTAGATAAGAAATCTTTTTTAATCACTTAACATTTTCCCTCTCAAAGCGTGCGCAGCAATTTGCTCTCATTGAAATCCAAACATACAGAAGTTCTTAAATATGAAGGGATATAGATTTTCACTGAATAGGCTATGAAACTCTTGACAAGCATATTTTCATACAATAAGCAAATGTCCAAAAGCTACTCACTGACAGACATGCAAAGAGCACCCACTTGTATTCAAATGCACTTAAATGTTTTCAAACCACATACAGAAAGATAGCAATAATTGAGATATATGGCCTTGTGTTAAATCATTACTTACGGCAAAACAGTTACACAATATTTTGAACTTCACTTACTTCGCCCATAATCATATTCCTTCTTCTTGAAGTGGATAATTTTATCCTTGCTTTCAATTCTGTGTTGCCTACCTATTAGAAAACATTAGTTATAATTTAGTTCCAGCCTCCTGAAAGCAGCTTCCTAAACAGCATAGTTAAAGTACAGAAAGGGACTCTTGGTTGTAGGATTCTATTGATACTAGAGTAATCATAGAAACTTCTCCAAAAAGATGTTGCAGAATTTCCGCATCTGAGGATCTGTATTACTAACTGGGAAATATCTATGTAGAAAACAGTTTGTCGTCCTGATTTGGAGACAATTTTGCAACTGAATGGTACGGATTATCTTATATGTTGTTATTAACTGTGTCTTAACAAAACTTAGAAAAACTATCTTGTGGTTGCTATTGTCATTACAAATCACAGGAGATGAGTTTTCCTTGTTCTTTCATTCCAGCCTTTCATAGAATAAGGATTCAAACAGAATTTGAAATAAAAAGTATTTTATTTATCACATAAGGAAGTTTAGTGCTTTGCTCTTTTAAGGAGTTAAATCCCCTACGACACTTTTCAGATAATTTAGATGTGTTCTCATCTGATCTTTCAAACCAAAAGAAAAAGCAACAGAGAGAATAAAGTAAAAGATGAAAAGAATTACTTTGAGATCTTTTCTTACATTCAAGCACCTTTTTTTCCCCCTTCACTAACCTCAAAGTCTTTTTAGATAACAATGGCCTGCTTTACTTTTTAAAAAATGAGGAATAATTAGTTTTTCTTACATTTTGGTTTCTGCTGCCAAGATGACGAATGCTAGTTTATGGTACTGACACTCTGAGCACAAATTTTTAAGTACAGTTAAATACCATGAATTGTCCATCACAAGTCTATCTGGAGTTTAAATGTATTTTGTATCAAAATGCAATCTGGGGAGAGAAAAGAAATGCCAAAATTTCAAATGTATATTAAGTCTCAGTAATAGATTTACATTGCTAAACAGCTGAATCATTATTCCTTTTTGTTAGGTTTTTTCCCAACATCAATATTTCAAATATTAACACAAACATCCAGAATTCAATAACTGTAAATAATAGCTGAGAACATGGTTGGTTCATTGGTTTTTAAAGGCAAATAGTGCAAGTGTTGAAATGCAGCATTTCATTTAATATGTGTTAACTTTGATTTGTCTGGTGTGAATATGCAGCCTTTTGAACTGAAATGGAAATCGCTGAAATGTACATAGGGAATCTAACATATGCGTTTAAATAAGAGCAGATGAATTTACTTTTTTCTTGGTAAAGAGTTTCCAGAGAGTGATCACGCAGAGCTGAGAAGGAAGACTTGTTCAAAGTGATCCCTCACTGGGTATTAACCTCAAAACTGCACGAGTGTCTTTTGTTGATATTTGTCTAAATCAACTCATCTCTTCATTCCAATTTCCTGTTGGTAGCGCCCATACTTTTGGCAATAATACTATAAAAGTTCATGTAAATATATTATTTACTACATAGTACAATTCAATATAATTCTGGCTAACCCTAGGGAATCTATTTACTGAAAGTACTAATTACCTAGGTCTGTGTTGAGGAGCGGGCAGATATTTTCTTAGCTTCCACTATAACTTTCCTGTACCTCTTTAAAAAAATGTTAAATATAAAGTTCTTAAATCAAGAGCATAATTTATTTAAATCTGGTCAGAAAACTCCAGTGTTAACACATGTTGAGAATTCCGGATTTTTGTAACATAGGCTATAATTCGCTATCTTGCTAAATTAAGGTTTTTAGTCAAGATATTTACTACTTGGTAACATCTGCTCTACTTAATAATAGTATAGCCTTATAAACACCTCTTATTTCTACAGACCGTATATTATTTTAGTCACAAAACCTGATCTATCAGCAGTTTAGAATCACTTTCTATTTTTGAGGAAAAAGACATAGTAATATTCAAAGAGTAAATTACATTCATAGATAAGATTATAAGATACATTATAGAATAATAAATAACAGACTCCTAAGTTCATGATAGCAGGCCAACAGTGGGAACATTCTCCTGAGTATTCTCCTCACCGTAAATCCAGTGATGGTAAAATCTTAGTCATTCAGCCCTACTAGCTAAGTATTTGGGATTATAACTCTATGTTACCCTTTATATTTGAGGTGATAGCGTTGTCACCATTCAATAAGGCTGATATTTTGAGTAACATTTTCGCAGTGGTAACAGATTTATTTGCACTCTATTGGCAGAGTAAACTTAACTGAATCACACGATCTCATTAGCATACTGCGTCCATCAGTTGAGCAAACCGGTTCTGGTATAAGGTCCATTTGGACCAAGAAAGTGAAAGTTAAGTGTTTTAACACTGATGTTCTAAGTTTAAGATAATTTAAGTCATGTTCCATTTATCTGGGAATTTCAACTCTTGGCAAGCTCAACTCTTAGGAGCACAGCCACGAACCTAGAGTAAAAAATATCACCAAGACTTTCACTACCAGCAGTGTTGTAGGTTAGCGACTCTAAAAGTATTTCTTGCTTGAAAATATCATAATGGCTCCTGCATTAAAAAAAATTTTTTTGTTGTTGCATTTCTGGAGTCTTCAAAATTAGGGGAGTCAGGTCTAAAGGGAAAATGCAGGGCAAAACAAAAACCAAATGCTGAAATGGCAATGGAACCCAGAAAACAAATATAAAAGACAAGATCGCCTTGCAAAGAAATGCAGATACCAGAGCTGCAACTTTTAGGCCAGGCCTAAGTGGCAAAGTCTGAAAGCTGAGTCAGAGCCTCCTCAGAGAATCAAACTGAGGACTATTAAAGGGGTCTCCTTCCCCACCCCAGAAACATCACTGCAAAAGAAATGCAAACTCGGTAAGAAAAATATTCTTGGCAGACCCTCTCAGTAGGTAGTATATGTCTGCTCCATTGACTTTTGACTTGGCCATGAGACCTGTTTTCACGAACGGAATGTGAGTAGATGTGACATATGCCACCTCTCAGCAGAGGCGTTAAGTGTGCTTCTGTGGTATGTCGTGGTCATTGTGCTCCCTCATCCCTTAGCCTGAATGAGAGTCACAAGGAGCGAGCTTGAACCAGAGTCCAGTCAGGCCCAGAAGAGTCACAGAAGACCCACAGACTCTTAGGTAAGTCATATGTGTTTATTGTTGTAAGCCACCGAGACCTTGACTTTATTGTTGTTGTTATGTTTGCAACAGCAAAACCTAACTCAAGCAGACAGACAGATATGGAAATCATTAGTCTGATCCTTAGTTTTACAAGGCAAAAACTGAGGTGATCAGCCTAGAGGCATGTGCTGTGTATATTGAATAAATTAATACATAAATTCAATTTTTCTTTGCAGAACTTTTCTCCTTTTGGAATGTATATTATATGCTATTCCCAAGTTTCTTAAAGTGAATTATTCAAAGATTGCTTTCAGAGCTGGCATTCCTTTCATGATTCAAAAACATGATTCCTGAACATTCACTAATATCTTTTGTTTTTCTGAACTTCTGTGTAATATGCCTGAACTTCAATACACATTTAGTCAATGGGTGCTATTTTCTAATGCATGTGTGTCACGGTCTCTAAGTGCCTTCATATTAAAGCTTCAGGTGACATAAAATAAACTAGAACATTATAAGGTGGCTGTTTAAATTTTCATGGCCGGGTATGGAGTTTACCCGGAAAGAATGAGCCTTTATTTATGGAGCACCAACCATGTATACTGCTGGGCAATGATCTTTGCTTTAAAGTGAAAAGTCACAAATCATTTTTATCTACATGCTTTTCAAATCCATTTTGCCAGTTCTTCATTTGATAGGATTATAAAAGCACAAACCTGTTGGTGCTCCCAGGTGCTCCTCACCCTAGCCCCAATACTCAGGATGGACATTATTCTTACTCTGTTCTCATATCTCACCTTTTGCCTAAGTGTGAGCCCTGGCTCGTGTGGTTTCTTGACACTCTCACTTTCCTCATTCTGACAGCTGACTGGAATGTACAGAAAAATGCCCCAAAGTGTTCATTTCAGATGAAAGAAGGAATTAGCAGAAGCAAGGCCCCAATTATTCATTGATTCACCTCTGAGAGCAGTGTTAACTCTTCTCATCTTTGAGCAATTCAAGGACCACCGAGGATGGATATTTAATTTCAGCAATTGATGTGTTTGTTCATCAAACTTTGACTGAGTTTATGTTTAAGCCGAAGAATGAGGGAGTGTGGCGTGTGCCATGGACTGGAATGAGTGAAGGGGGCTGTGGGAAGACATCACATGTGCAAGTGGAGGGGGGGTGTTTTTTTTTTTTTTTTAATTTAATTTTAAATATGTGAGGTATAATTTAGAGTTAGGTATACAGATGTTCATTATGCAGGTATCCTTCTGGATGAGGTGTGCCCTCCCTCCCCTGGCAATTTTCCACTACCGCCAACCCCTTTCTTATAGCATTATGATAGTTGTTCAAGGTCTGCTTATGAGTGAGAACAGGTGG